CCAGCCAGGCATCGGTGCAAAGCAGGGAGCTGCGGAGGCTAAGGAGAGGCAGGGGATAGCTGGCTGGATGGACAGAATATTTGTCCCCTGCTTTGAGCCCTGCAGGCGTTGAACAGCTGCTTTATGAGCAGTGCCGAGCAGCCGTGGGTGCAGGAGCTAATTAACCACCAACACTAGCTGCCTTCACCGCAGTGTAAAGCCCCTGTGCTTGGGGCCCCGGCTCCCGCTGGTTTGTGCATGCTCCTTGCTCGGGCCCTGCTCTTGCTGTGGGGAGCAGACAGGATTTCCTGCTGCACCAGCCCTGGAGAAAGCCCCGGCAGACCTGTCCCACCCCCGGGACGCATGGCTCTGGCTATGGCACTGTGCGCTGGCCTCCCCTGGGAAAGGGCAGAGGGTCGGAGGGTTTTTAGACGTCGGTGAGGCCTGTTGCTGCTCAGGGCCTTGGGGGGATCACACAGACAACACTCCGGCCGCCGCTGCTCCTTGTGGCTTCGTGACGCTCTTGACTAAAGCGCTCGAGACGCGCTTCTGCCACAGGCGTGGTTTCCATTTCTGGCGTGGTTTGGGGGGGACTGCAATGAGTAGAGGGCCCCGGGAGAGGGACTGCTCATCTCACTATCACGAGACCGAGGTCCCAGCCTTCCTTTCTGTGCAGCTGGTTTCATAGTGTGGGGGTCCCTGTGTTCACACCAAGCACCTCGCCCACACTCGTCTGACTCACGGGGTGCTGCTGCGCCATGACGGGTGGGGGGAAGAGTCGGGTGCAGGGGGTGCGCTGTTGCCGTGGGCCCTTCCCTCATAACAACCCCTCCCCAGAGCTGGGCCCTGCCAAGACTTTTAAGGGACTTGGCAAAGGTGGGTGACTCAGATTTCCTGACCCAGTCACCCTCTAACAACTAGGCCGTATTGCATCCTGTACACTAATGTTTCCCCTCCCCCAACACACATACACACACGCATGCTCACTCTCTTTCTCACACACATACACACCCACGACCTCAGCTGGTGTTTTCACATGACCATGACTATGACCGTGGACTAGCATCTTGCAATCAGTGGCAGGTAATTGGGGAGCATCCCAGCTACTCAGGCACTGCGCCTTTCACCTTCAGGCATGCTCCAGTCTCCAGCCAGCTCCTCTCTCAAGCTCTGCAGTGACTGTGGGTTCATCTGTTGCAAAAAACAAAACAAAACAAAAACAAACAAAAAAGAAGCATTTTTCACTCCCCCTTGCTACCCTTACAATAGCTGGAAGACAGGGCCACAGCGACACAAGAGCGGCTCAGACGAAGAGCATCCCCTTGCAGTCACCCGCACTGAATTCCCATCATCCACCGAGGCAGGATTTGTGAGGGGCTGGCAGTTTCTGCACGGCCCTGTTCCTCTCCTTGCCTTTTCTTCCCCACCCCACCCTGTTCCCCTCACCTCCTGCTATCCCCCACCCCCACTGCAGGGAGCTCTGCCCCCACCTCGCTGCCTGGTGGTGGGAGGTGGGAGAGTTTGCTAACGGCCGCACCAAGTGGAGAAAGCAAAACACCCCCCCAGCTTACTGGCCTCATGAATAAATAACATTTCCTTATTCTGTTTTTCCACACCGTGCATGATTTTCAAGACATCTAACATGTCCCCCACCCTTTAGTCATTTCTTTTCCACGCTGAAAAGTCCCCATCTTGAAAATCTCTCCTCCTATGGAAGCTGTCCCTAACCCCTAATCATTTCTGTTGCCCTTTCTGTACCTTTTCCAAATCCAATATCTCCTTTTTTAGATGGGGTGACCAGATCTGCACACAGTATTCAAAATGTGGGCATTTAATGACTTTACGTAGAGGCAATAAGGTATTTTGTCTTATTCTCTATATTCCTTTCCTAATGATACCCAATATTCTGTTAGCTTTTTAGTTTTTAGACTGCCACTGCACATAGAGCTGTTGTTTTTAGGGAACTATCCCCATTGATTCCAAGATCTCTCTCATGAGCTATTTTGTATTTAGAGTTAGGATTATATTTTCCCATGGGAATTACTTTGCACTTCTCAACACTGAATTCCATCTGCCCTTGTGTTGCCCAATCACCCAGTTTTGTGTTATCCCTTTGTATCGCTTTGCAGTCATCTTTGGATTAGTCCCTGTTCACCACCTTTTCAACAACATTTGTAAGTGTAACACAGTGATCCAAATGCAGATTCTTGCAGCACAACACTCCCCCTATTCTCCCTCCCCCCCATTTTTTAAGTGGAGTACCTGGCAATATTTCTATGATGATCTAACATCCTTCAGTTTCTGGAATGCCCACCAGCCTTTCGTTATTCTTAATCTCCCTGCCTTCCTCTGTTTCTAACAAACTCCCAGGCCCAAATACAAAGCTGCAAGCAGCTCAAATGCAATTGCATTTAAGAACTGCTCTGGAGTCAGGGCATGGGTTTTAAGCAGACCTCAAGTATGAAATCCAGGGGGTTCAAACTCGGGAGGGAGGGGCTACTGCACCACTAGTCCCCCATAAATGGTGCCCCTGCCCATGCCTAACAATGGAACCTGCAGGTCCTTTAGGGCAGAGGTTCTCAAGCTTTGCTTTGAGCTCTCCCCCTCCCCCAACATGCTATAAAAACTCCATGGTCCAGCTGTGCCACGACAACCACTTTTTGGCACATAATAGCCAGGGCCTGCATTAATGAGTGGCAGGAAAGGCAATCGCCTGGAGTATCATGCCACAGAAGCACCGAACAGAGGTGCTGGGGGGTGCTGATGTACCCCCTGGCTTGCAATGGTTTCCATTAGTCAACAAAGCAAATAGAATGTTAGAAATCATTAAAAAAGGGATCGAGAATAAGGCAGAAAATATCTTATTGCCTCTGTATAAATCCTTGGTACCCCCACATCCTGAATACTGTGTACAAATGTGGTCACCTCATTTGCCAGATACTTTCACAAAAAATCCCAAACATAGTGAGGGAAATAATTGGTTGAGAGAAGAAAAAAAAACAACCTGGGGGCTGATCTTGTTGAGCAAAAAAACCCCAAAAAACCCGGACCCAAATTAAATAAAAAAAGGTCGCTGCGCCTTTAAATTCCTGCTCCCCCCGCCCCCCGGTATTTTTTTACCGGACGGAAGGAAAAGAACTGGATGCCTGGCAACCCTATCGCCTCATCACAAAAATGATTATATTGGCATTGGAAAAGGTTCAGAAAGGAGCGACAAAACTGATAAGGGGTTTGGCGCAGGTCCCATATGAAGGGAGATTAAAAAGACTTGGACTTTTCAGCTTAGAAAAGAGGAGACTAAGGGGGGATATGATAAAGATCTATAAAATCATGACTGGTGCGGAAAAAGTGAATAAGGAAAAATTATTTACTTATTCCCACAATATAAGAACTAGGGGTCACCAAATGAAATTAATAGGCAGCAGGTTTAAAACAAACCAAAGGAAGCTTTTCTTCACGCAGCGCACAGACAACATGTGGAACTCCTTGCCAGAGGATGTGGTGAAGGCTAGGACATTAACAGAGTTAAAAAAGGAGCTAGATAGATTCATGGAGGTTAGGCCCATCAATGTCTATTAGCCAGGATAGGTAGGAATGGTGTCCCTAGCCTCTGTTTCTCTGGAGCCGCGTGACAAGGGAGGGATCACGTGATGATTACCTGTTGTGTTCCCTCCCTCTGGGGCATCTGGTATTGGCCTCTATCAGCAGACAGGATACTGGGCTGGATGGACCTTTGGGCTAACCCAGTATGGCCGTTCATATGTTCATATATGTCAAGTCCTGAAGCTCCCAGACTGAAGAGGTTCAGCCTGTACTAGTTTGAAAGGCCCAGAAGAAGACAGTGTCTTAACTGATTATATGCAGGGTTACTGTTTGGTTCAATGCCTCTTAGCGTCCCCACTCTACTCTACGCATTGTTCTAGGCCCCGGCACCCAAAAACTAAATTGCTCTGTCTTTAGCTTTAGGGCTGGCTTGGGGCGCCAGGCTGCAGACCTGCATGACAGGGTCTTGGCCCTGGGCCCTATAGAAACTCAGGCCAGCTATGCCTGGCAGACACCCTGAAACCTGTTCACCCTTTGTTGAGAACTAGGACTCAAGAGAGTTCAGAGACGACAAGTGCATGCGCGCGCACACACACACACACACATACACACCTGTTTATTATTTTTTCCATATTTCACCTGACTTTTGTACCATTCAAATGCACAAAAATAACGTGTGTTACTAGGAAAACAGAATACCTTGCAAGAGATAGATATAGTACAGTACATGCTGAACCTCTCTGGTTCAGCACCCTTGAGACCTGACTGGCGCCGAACTAGAGAATATCATATATATAGTTGCCCAGTGTCTGTGCGTCAGTAACGCTGACGTACACGGCCACGCCCCCTTCCCCCTGCTCCATGTT